CTTATTTTTAACGGTGACCTTGTTCAATTGTCTGTAGTCGGTGCATAACCTCATACTCCCATCTTTCTTCTTGACCAACAAGGTCGGTGCACCCCACGGAGAAACACTAGGACGAATGAACTTTTTCGCCAACAATTCTTCAATCTGCTTTTTCAGCTCAACTAACTCTAAAGGTGTCATTCTATAAGGGGCTATAGAAATGGGTCCCGTCCCTGGTATTAGATCGATAGAGAATTCAACTTCTCTCGCTGGAGGTAAATCCGGAATATCTCCAGGAAACACTTCGGGGAAGTCACATACTATCGGTATGTCCTTGACTCTGGGTTTCTCGTTACCTTCCATTGATGCCAGTAACATAAACATTGTTCCCCCTTCTTTAATGGAAGTACAAACTCTCTTAGCTGACACTGGTTCCAAAGAGCTAGACTTATCATAAGACTCATACTGATCCCCGAACACTACAGTCTTATCGGCACAATTGAGCATCACTCGATTGGCCGACAACCAATCCATTCCCAGAATTATATCTAATTGAGTCAGGGGTAGACAGATTAAATCTACGGTAAACATCCTGCCATTGACTTCTATCGGACACTGGGATGTACAAGTTGACACCACCACAGATGCACTAGTAGGGGTGGACACAACTAAGTCAAAGGGAAACAACTTAGTCGACAACTCCTGTCGTTCTACACAATCAATAGATATAAAAGAGTGTGTTGCTCCCGAATCGAACAACACTAAAAGTGGAATACCTGTCACCATACAATTTCCCTTGATCATACCTTCAACGTCGATTGCCTCGACACCAGTCATGGTAAACACCCTGCCAGTGTTTCTAGGCCGCTCCACATTCAGGTCACTCGCACGTTGGTTCAGCTTGGGGCAGAACTTCCTTACATGTCCCGACTCCTTGCAATTGAAACACCCATTCCCGGATCCGGGGCATACACCCCCAAAGTGATGCCTACCACATTTGTTGCACAAAGGTGGAGATCTCCAAGGTGACCCTCCAGCGTTGGCGTTTGTCCTTGACCCCTGAGAACCATACCTCTGATTCCCCATAGGTGGAGAGTAGGGCTTACGTTCCTCTTGAAACGCCCTCCCTTTTCCTTTCCCTTGCTCATAGTGGCAGTTGAGGTCAAAAAAATTTCGGAGGATTGAGCTTGTGAACCGCCACTTCATCTGCTTTCATATCGTCTTCGTACATCCTACACTTGTTGACTAAGGTAGGAAAATCAGAGATCTCTTGATATCCAAACATCATCCGCAACTTGGGTCTCAGGCCCGACTCGAACTTAGCACATTTAGACCTTTCATCCACCTCCAGCTCATAATATGGACAATATCGGGCCAATTCCTCAAACTTGGCCTGCTTACTCTCCCACCGATAGATCCCCTTGCTCTAACCGTAGGAACTCCATCTTTTTCTTTCTCTTCAAGTCGGCTAGAAAGTATTTTTGGAGGAACTTTCCTTTGAAGGCTTCCCATGTGATGGATTGCCCTTCCGATTCCATTTGCCTCCGAGCATACTCCCACCAGTTCTCGACATCCTTAACCAGGACATATGAGGCATAAGTCACCTTCTGAGCGTCGGAACATTAATCATATGAGTCAATCACGTAGGGTATTATATTCAGTTTTATATGTTTGAATATGACTTTATCAATAATCACGTAGACATAAGCAGTACTTTATGAACATTAATCATATGAGTTAATGATTACTCATTCTGTTGTACTTTATTTTTTAATCATAAGCACATACACATTAAATTAAGATAGTTGATTAAGCAGTACTTTATGAACATTAAATTAAGTTATGTTTTGATCATTGATTTAGTTTTTTTTATTTTTATGTTTTCTGTACAACATATATTATTTTTATGTTTTGGGTACAACATATAAAAATACATTTAATGAGTGATTAGGTAGTTTACACATATTTTACATTAAAATTTATAATTTCATGGGGGCAAATAAGGCAAAACACAAATTACACCATGGTGGTAGTTATTTTGTGTTTTGCCTTTATTAGTAGTAATAGAATAAATAAACCGTCACTTTAGCATCAACAATATTGACATACAAATAAAGAGTGACTTACCTTGATATTATGCACTGATTTTTGGATTTTTTTTATATTTTCCCATTGTTATGTTGAATTTATGCACTTCTGTACATTTTGTTCACACAATGTAACTCATTATAACAAATTTAAATATATGCAGGAGATGTGAATGTGATGAAGAAAAATTGAGGAGTAATTAGTTTGCTTCTTTACCTCAGCAAAGTATGTTATCTTGCAGTACCTTGATGATTATGTTTCTCACATTAGAATCAACCCTTTGTACCGAAGAACATTGGAAATGGCTGAGTTTGATGATGGGGGAAATAGAAGATAAATACCTGATGTTAGAGGGAGGAGATGTAGTATTGGTGCATAATGACTTCATATACTTTTATAAGTTGTTTACATGCTCATAAGTCAGTTGTTTAAAACAAAAAGTGCACTATGTCATGTTCAAAAAAAATTGCAATATGAATAGGCCATGTTCCAAAAAAAAGGGAAAACTGCAACGGTGCACTATGGTAACTGCAATAGTGGAGGTTAATAAGTATTATATGTTAACTGCAACAGTGCACTAGGGTATTATATTCAGTTTTATATGTTTGAATATGACTTTATCAATAATCAGGTAGACATAAGCAGTACTTTATGAATATTAATCATATGAGTTAATGATTACTCATTCTGTTGTACTTTATTTTTTAATCATAATTAAATTAAGATTAAGCAGTACTTTATCAACATTAAATTAAGTTATGTATTGATCATTGATTTAGTTTTTTTTTATTTTTAAGTTTTTTGTACAATATATATTATTTTTATGTTTTGTGTACAATATATAAAACTACATTTAATGAGTGATTAAGTAGTTTACACATATTTTACATTAAAATTTATAATTTAAAGGGGGCAAATAAGGCAAAACACAAATTACACCATGGTGGTAGTTATCTTGTGTTTTGCCTTTATTAGTAGTAATAGAATAATAGAATAAATAAACAGTCACTTTAGCATCAACAATATTGACATACAAATAAAGAGTGACTTACCTTGATATTATGCACTGATTTCTAGATTTTTTTTATATTTTCCAATTGTTATGTTGAATTTATGCACTTCTGCACATTTTGTTCACACAATGTAACTCATTATAACAAATTTAAATATATGCAGGAGATGTGAATGTGATTAAGAAAATTTGAGGAGTAATAAGTTTGCTTCTTTACCTCAGCAAAGTATGTTATCTTGCAGTACCTTGATTATTATGTTTCTCACTTTAGAATCAACCCTTTGTACCGAAGAACATTGGAAATGGCTGAGTTTGATGAGTGGGGAAAGAGAAGATAAATACCTGATGTTAGAGGGAGGAGATGTAGTATTGGTGCATAATGACTTCATATACTTTTATAAGCTGTTTACATGCTCATAAGTCAGTTATTTAAAACAAAAAGTGCACTATGTCATGTTCAAAAAAAAAAACTGCAATATGAATAGGTCATGTTCCAAGAAAAAGGGAAAACTGCAACGGTGCACTATGGTAACTGCAATACTGCAGGTTAACGAGTATTATATGTTAACTGCAACAGTGCACTAGCGTATATTCAGTTTTATATGTTTGAATATGACTTTATCAATAACGACGTAGACATAAGCAGTACTTTATGAACATTAATCATATGAGTTAATGATTACTCATTCTGTTGTACTTTATTTTTTAATCATAAGCACATACACATTAAATTAAGATAATTGATTAAGCAGTACTTTATGAACATTAAATTAAGTTATGTTTTGATCATTGATTTAGTTTTTTTTTTTTTTATGTTTTCTGTAAAACATATATTATTTTTATGTTTTGTGTACAATATATAAAACTAGATTTAATGAGTGATTAGGTAGTTTACACATATTTTACATTAAAATTTATAATTTCATAGGGGCAAATAAGACAAAACACAAATTACACCATGGTAGTAGTTATTTTGTGTTTTGCCTTTATTAGCAGTAATAGAATAAATAAACAGTCACTTTAGCATCAACAATATTGACATACAAATAAAGAGTGACTTATCTTGATATTATGCACTGATTTCTGGAATTTTTTTTATATTTTCCCATTGTTATGTTGAATTTATGCACTTCTGTACATTTTGTTCACACAATGTAACTCATTATAACAAATTTAAATATATGCAGGAGATGTGAATGTGATGAAGAAAAATTGAGGAGTAATAAGTTTGCTTCTTTACCTCAGCAAAGTATGTTATCTTGCAGAACCTTGATGATTATGTTTCTCACTTTAGAATCAACCATTTGTACCGAAGAACATTGGAAATGACTGAGTTTGATGAGTGGGGAAAGAGAAGATAAATACCTGATGTTAGAGGGAGGAGATGTAGTATTAGTGCATAATGACTTCATATACTTTTATAAGATGTTTACATGCTCATAAGTCAGTTATTTAAAACAAAAAGTGCACTATGTCATGTGTTAGTGTACACGAATCCTTGAAAGAGAAAAATAAAATAAAACATGGATTGAGTCAACGATTTCTACGAAAACTACCAAATTTCGTAAATATTCTAAAAGTTACACCAAACCGGTAAATAAAAAATCTACTTATACCATATATGTAAATTTTCCCTCCTCATTCTTACTCTCAACTTCCAACTCTATTGGTCTATTATATCATAACAAAAGATAAGAATGTGCACATGAAAAAAAAAATCCAAAAAAACACGAGTTTAGCTGTCCCAAAATAAATATGTTATCATATATCTAATCAATCAGTTTTATTCAAGTAATATAAAAATAGTACTTTCCAATTTTAGAATTTTTATTTTTTTGATGAATTATCACTTTTTATTGGACTGGTACATGAAATTAGGACAGGAATAGGGACATATGATCTCTATTCAAACATACTATGCTACACCGCTAATGGGCCTATGTGGACTCCAACCGAAGATACAGGCCCACTTTCAGGGAAAAGCCCAGAAGCCCATGAACGCTGTTCTTGTTGTTCGAGGAACCGATCCTCCGGAACCCGTAGCGCTCCGTGACAACATACCACTGCCACGCCCACTGTCACGGCGGAGATAACCACCGACACTACATTCGTCCAAAGAGCCACCGAGACGGTGGCGAAGCTTAGCCCGACTAGAGCTTCGCAGTCGGTGAACACGCGGCCGAAGATCACGAGCTGCTGCTCCGGCTTCCGGAGAATGTAGAGGAAGAGCCACGCGCCGGCGATGGAACCAAGGAGGAGGAGCGTCAAGGGACGACTGAGGAGGGAAGCGGCGAGTACAACCGCCACCACGATGACGTAGTTGACACGGAAGTAGGACGTGTTCTTGCGGATTCTGGAGTAGGCTTCGGCGAGCGATTTCGGCACGGAGATGGCGCTCCGGTCGGCGAGTTCTGTCCAAGGGCGGCGCTTCGCGTGGCGGTGGAGGCGCGTAAGGAAGTTTTGGAAAGTTGCGATGGTTACAGAGTGCTTCTCAGGGGACATTGCTGCTGCGAATAACGGTTAGGTTTATTGCTCTTTCTTTGGTTTCAATTTCTGTGAATTTGATTTGATGATTTTATTTTACGGTTTATGTAAAATACAAGTTAGATTTGTCGACTTTTTAGTTCAAATCTGAAATCATAGTTTAAAATTTGTTGCTTCAATCACCCTTCACCATGCATATTTTATGAGGAAAGTGAGGAGAAGGTGTGAATTCATGGTCAATGAGTTTAGGATTCAGAACCATTGGTTTTGTTTGATCCATTTGAAGGAGAATTGTTAAGTAAGTTTCTCAAATCAACTTTTCTTGATTAGCAATTTATGAATTCAAATGTGTCAATATCTTCTACCTTATTGTTTTGAGAATGATTTAAATATTTGTTGGTTTATTCCTATCATTGTCAATTACTTTTGAAATAGAACATTAGCATGATATCAGAGTCAAAACTCATATTCTTTCTGATTCTCATGGGCTTATGTCTTTAGTTATGTGTCAAAGATAACCTTTCATTAGTCTGACAGACTTATGTATGTATTACAAGTTTTTTGTAGGTGTAAAAAATGGAGGGGTGATTATGAATAAGGGTGAAAACAAATTAGACCGTCGTACAAGACTCTAGTACCTAACCTATGACAAACTAGGTTAGACACAATAGACATTTCTAATAAACAGACTAGACTTAGGCTTCTCAAAAAGCTTATTTAACATAAATAGTTCACCTGAAGATTTCTTAAAACCATTAAAATTAAGAGTTTAACCTATATAATTTTATTATATATTTATGTTAAATAAATCAAAATATATAAATCTTATAGGCATTTGACATTCGAATTTAGGTTAGATTTGTCAATTAAAAATGACCTATTAACCTATTTAAAGGTAGATTTATTAGTCAATTTAAAGATATATTTTATTGATATATTTAAATGTAAGATTATTAGAGACTTTTAAATATGCTAATATGTGTTAGACCTTTAAAGATGCTTTTAAATATGCTAATATGTGTTAGACCTTTAAAGATGATAGGTCTGGAAAAAATTAAGTAGACAAATAGGTCAAACTTAGGCGACAATATTTTTAATCAGGCCTACAGATGTTAAAAATACCCGGACCCGTAAGTATCCATCAAAATACCTGCAATAGTTTCCCGTAAAAATAGTTCATGAGTGAGAACTGATATCATGATACCCGCCACGCGGGTACCCACGTATATATTTTAATTAAATATTTTATAATTAATTATTATTAATTTAACATTATATTTGTCTATTTGATTATTATTTCATAATAAAATTTAGTGATAAAATTATAATCATAAAATTATCATATACATATCATATTATTTAATTAGTAATTATTTGTTTATATTAATTATTGGAAAATATGTAAAAAATATAATTAAAATTGAAAATTCGTTGGGTACCTGCTATACCTGCAAATAGTGTGGGTGTGGACACAGGTATGCACTAACCGTGTCCGCTCGACCCCGTTGCCAACCCTAATCAGACGAGACTTGTTTAAGTCAAGACCTGACCTGACCTAGTCTGTTTCCACCTGAGTTCACTTCTTTTCATCACTTCATCATTTGGACGATCATACAATGCCACTTCTGCTCCTAAAAAATAATTAAAACACACTCCTATCTATAAATATTTTCCGACCTAGAACTACGTTGTCTTGATTCTCTGTTACTCATGAGAATACGTAAGAGCCAAATATAACATTGTCAACACAAAAATAAAATAAATAAATATTTTCCCCAATAAATAAATAACCAAATAATTTAGAATATTAAAATATGGAAAATGATATATCATCCTACTAAATCCTCCTACTAATCCTCCTACCTACATAAATGTGACATATGTCACTTGTACACCAATCAATAATAAATAAAGTATCACTTTGTGACACATGTCACATTTGTGTGAGTAGGAGGATTAATAAGCGGATTTAATAGGAGAATATATCATTACTCTTAAAATATTTCATAATTAGTGAGAGTTCATCTCCTTTAGGGCGCGGCAATTTTTAACTAATGACATAAGGAATAGGTGATGTTCACTAAATATCCAAATGTATATAATCCAAAGTAACTTTTGTCATGTGAATACCAAAAGCACAATGATCACAAAAGTCAATTTTTTTTATACTGTCGCAGCAAAGAATGTAACTTTTGCACAAAATATTCAAGCTTGTGTGAGAGTTGCAGAACTAGGGATGACAAAAATACTCGGACTCGTAGATATCCGTAAAAATACTCGCAATGTGTACCCGCAAATATAGCTTATGGGTGGAAACGGGTATCATGATACCCACCCGCGGGTACTCGCGCATATATTTTAATTAAATATTTTATATTTAGTTATTATTAATTTAACATTATATTTGTTTATTTTATTATTACTTCATAATAAAATTTGGAACAAGACTATAATCATAAAATCATCATATATATGTCATATTATTTAAGTAAAAATTATTTGTATAGAATAATTATTGTAAAATATATAAAAATATAATTAGAATGAGAAACACGTTGGGTACCCGCTACCCGCACGAGTACCCGTAAATTGTGTGTATGGGCACGGATATACACTACCTGTGCCTGCCCATGCCCATTGCCATCCCTATACAGAACCTGTAACTCTGATGTTACAATTATAGGTCAGAGCTAGACATGGATTCAAATAAAGATGAGGGAGACACCCAATTTTTTGGAGTTAATAGAAGCAAAGAAGATGTGAGTTAGAAAATTTAGGGAGATGATTCCATGGATAATAATCACATGAGGAGAAAGTAGACATGGTAAAAAAAATCATGCCACACATCATTTTTAAAGGAAATTTAATAGAAAAGAGTTATTTATTAATGTTAAAAACTTATGGGACTTATTTGTATCAAAAAACTTATGAGACTAAATACTAACCTAAAAATAACCTAAGATAATTATATTATTTGGCACCCCCAATAAGAGCATTAGTTAGTATTAACCGAAAAATAAAGCCCACGGACTTACAAAAAAAGGGACATAGATAAGGTGCATACAAATTAATACCAAAAAGATATTGGTATAGTGATGTAAAGATTTTCAGAAAGACCAAAAAATTAAGAATTCGAGTATTGGAGGGGTGAAGGGAAATAGAAAGCTTGAGAGTCAATTTCATAAGTATATTTCGTAGCCCCCAAGCATTCTCTTTCATTTCAAAAACCAATTCGCAAACAAACTCTAACTTTTCATTTTTTTAAGTTTCAACTGAAGTTTTTTCCTATCAAACCATTATCTTATGTTACCATTAAACACAAAATCATTGAGGAAGGATCAGAAGAAATGAACTAAAGATCTTCTACAGAATATTGAAAACAAATCCACAGTTACATCAGTATATATATACACATATCTTGTTGAGGTTCACCTAACACACTTGAACCCAGTATTAAATTGCTGTTGTTGCACCACCAAAACTGAAAATGTAAAATCTGTTGAGGCTAAAAGGTTCCCTAATGGCCCAAGCTCAGGTAACTCACACCATTCTGTCAAGCCTAGTATACATGGTGAATCTTCCAAATGATTTCTACCAACTATGACCAAATTAAAATATCCCTCCATTGTTCTTATAAATTGTGTTGTTCCTAATCCATCTTCCACAATCTCATCCTTGAATTTCACCTGCTCATTATGCTTATTACTATACCTTATATGCTTCATCAAGTCATTGTATTGGTTCTTCATATCATACTGTTTCATATGCATTTCAGCCCTTACCCAAAACACTGTAAGTTTTACATTTGGATGCTGCGCGATTCGCAAACTATAAGCTAGTCCCTCTTGATCATCAGCACCACCTAAGAAGATCATTGCAACTTCATAGTGTGAGGTATCGTGGATAACTAACAATTTGCCACTGGTTTGGCATCTGTCAATAAGAACTCCAACAGAACAAGGAGCATTCTTTAGAACATTCTGGTTTAGTATCCTCAATGAAGCGTTGAAAATGTGCGCTTTTCCGTCGATGGTCCATTGCATATGGAATGGCACAATTATAATGTTTGATTTGGTGTCCATTGCCATGTAGCATATGTCATCATGCATGCTAGAATACGGTGTAATTGCAGTAAAGAATTGCAAGGTTAGACACCCTTTGTTATGCTGCTCAAATTGATCAAAGACATTGCTTATAGGTTGAGAATAATTCGTCTCATCATCGGATGATGGGTTAGCGATGTCATTTTTGGTAAGTATTGAGGTTGCTCTGCCTGAAAGCTCCATGAGATGTAAAACAAAGACAGAGAGAGGTGTAGCTTTTGTAGGGTTTGAGATTTGAAGAAGGTTGATGATTGGATATACATTTTCTTCATTATGGACACATGCAAGTACTTTGAGATTAGTGTCATGTTGAGAGTCCGTAATTGATCTTCTGATATAGGATTTGTACCTCCTTGAAGGATCATATATGTGATAAACCAACATATTTGTAAACCCAGTTATAAGCACCATAGTATATATCTGAAGGCTGAAAATCAGTTCATCAGTTGCCTGATGATACACATTAAATAAGTGTGGATTAGAACAATATACAATTAACATGCATGCCCAAATAGTTAAATATAACAAATAACATAAATTTTTTTGATCTTCCTAACTAGTGTCTAAGAGCATTGGTTAAGAAATAAAAACAAGTTTTCATTAAAATGTGTTCAAAACAAGGGATTTTAAAAGTTGTTCTTTTCGGTGCACATTGATGCACCATTTTCAAGTGGTCTTTGTCATGTAATTTTTTTTTAAGTTGTCATCTGCATAATCTTGTATGGTGGCATGCATTTTGGTTATCAACAAAAACTTGCTATCTTGAATTTCATACCATTGTCCAAATTTTTATATGACTTTTGTTTTAACAAGAACATGATAAATCATTAAATTGGAAAATTTAGCAGAACTACACTGATATTGA